GGGCAGAGCCTCCGCCGGGGCCCCCCGCCCCGCAGCCGCACCTGCTCCCATGTCGTCGGATTGAAGGCCCCCTCGTAGCGCTGCGGGCCCTGAAATTTGTCGAGGAAGGCATCCAAATCCGCCTCTTCGCTTTCCGCCATGCGTGAAAGGTTTACCGTCCCGCTCGGCTGCTCCGCCCTTCCGGAGGCGGCTCTGCAGCCGAAAGAGGCGGGCGCGAGCTCTCTGGGCTTGCGGTGAAACTGGGGTGCGAGGCCGCGGTTTCCCTCCTCGCCTTTTCCGACCCGCGGTTGCCAGGGCCGCTGGACTACAGCTCCCATTATCCTTACCTTGATGCTCGCCGTAGTTGGAAATCACCTGGCTAAAGAAAACAGTGCTATATAACCCGCCTCCCCATCCTTAAGCGTGCCGCACCTAGCCCAGCGCTTGTCTATTGCAGTATTCCTCCCTCCCTCATCCGTCAGCCCAACGGCTCTGCTATTGGGGTAGATTACAGCTCTGTGCCAGTGTCGTTGTACATGAACTCTTGAGTCTGTTCACGGCTGCAAGATTTTTCAGTGTGACTGCTCTCGCTCTGCTCGGCAGCGAGGTGGCAGCCACAACCTTGGTTAACTTCATAAAATGAAGCATGGTCACCTTGGCTAATACTACTAGGATGGGAGACGAGCAGAAAACCTCAGGGCTGTAGGTGAAATTAAAATTTAAAAATCACCAGAAGGTGACAATGCCAAATCCACATTGTTGCCTAAAACATGTCCGTGTAGTTACCAGCAGTTGAATGTGACTCAAGCGAATTTTTTTCTCTCTCTCCAGCATTGCTTATCAAGATAGAAGTACAGCATAATTTGCACAACACATTTGGCTCTATTACTAAATTAATTTGTTATCTAAGTTCCCAGAATACATTGAATTATGAGCTCACCAAAAAGGTCTGGGTTTGCACATCAGTCTGAGCCACAAAAGACTCAACCTCAAGGTAACCAAGCTTAATGTATGGCATGAATACACTAAGGGGCATCTCTGTATGTCGGGTTGTCTGTGTTTGCAGTACTGGGACAAAAAAGTCAAGATGGACACAACTGTGTGATGCACATAAAAAAGAGGTAGGCCTTCAGCTGCACAGTCACAGCAGCCATACTGACTTTTTTGACCCTCCTCATGGACAGCCCTGGCAATACCACACATGTCTCTGTGTAGCAAAATGGCTTGCTATTATTTAAAATGACCATACAGGATTGGTATACATAGGCTAAGAAATGGCTGGGGCGTGTCTTGATTTCTGGTACAGGAAAACGCTTTATAAAAATCTAGGAAAGAAATGTCCAACAGGCTGGAAGCTGCAGGAAACAAGTGTTGTTTATTATCCTGGAAATCAGTAAATCCACACTTCCTTTTGTGAGCTGTTTTTGTGTTCTTGCTGAAGCTGGGTGTTATATCACTGGTGAATCAAGTTCCCTTTCCCCACCTGCTCTAGCTAACTATTAATTTCTGTTGGCCAGCTTCCAGAGATTGATAATGCCAAAAAGTCTGGAAGAGCCGCGGCGGAGACCATGCTGGTCTCTGTAATTCCAGATAGGCCTTTCAACCAGAGCATCCCTGACTGTTGACTTGCTGTTGTCACTCAGCCTGTTCTTCTGCTTGGAGAGAACAGCAGAAACAAGCTCATGGGTGTGGACTGCAGCTATGCACACAGCTGCATCAGGATTATGCATCAGGCCTTCAAGAGCTGAAAGTGAAAGGGAGTAGTTAACATACTAAGGGATTCGTATCTTCACTGAACATACATTTATTTCAAGGTTCTTACATTTTCTCTTGTTACTTACTTTGAAAGATCATATCCAAATTTATTATTTTTGCCTTGCTGTCCATATGTAGGACTAAGAAACCTAAAGATACCAGACAAGTAGTTAATTAACACTTCTTAGTAGAGACTCTCATAGTAGATCTTAGGGTATATTTTGGAAAATAACCCTAATGATTTCAGTGGCATTTCCAAGGGAGCATATTTAAGACCGTAACTTTATGGGTAGGTTCTAGAACAGGGGTGGGTCTTAGCTCTAGAACAAGGATGGCCTTAGTGCCACAAAGAGACCTCAGACTAATTTCACTTGGTCTTCAAACTAATTTTCTATAAGTGGTTAGTTTGGATTTCTGGAATGATCAGATAGTTCCTGCTTCCTATGGGAGAAGGAAGAAAAGAGGAAAAAGGGGAAGGTGAATCAGAGTGATAAAAAGGGGGTACCAGAAAGAATGGGTACTTCCAGCTATTTGGGGGTTCTTCCCCATCCTTATTTTACCTACTAATGACAAAAGCCATCCACCAGATCATTTTGAAGGAAATGAAGAAGTTGCCTTTAATGATGGAGGATGGTAAGCAAAAGCTCTCACAGAAACTTTGATCAAATGGAAATGCAAAGCATTTCTACCGCATCCCTTTTGCAGCTTTGTGCCTTTTGATGTTTTTATTCCCAAAATAAAAATGGAACTCAGAACATTGTGGCAACCCACACAAACAGCTAGTCTACTCTCATTCAAGAAAGGGGGGGGGAGCTGATTTTTTTTCATTTACCTAGGAATGCGATGGAAGCCCTTTTTATAGGAAGGAGGTCACTCTCAGTGTAGAAAATGCCCTGGTACAAGAATCTTGGTAGGTTTGCCTGCTGTTTCTGTACCTGAAATGTACAACTAGCTTCATCCAAAAAATAAATCAAGACTTTAAGCTGATTTACTTTCTTGATAAATAAACTGGGCACTACTCCTTGTTCAAATCTTACCTTGACACTGAACATGCCAGAAGGCATTAGATAATCCACTGCCACATTTTTAATAGGGGGATAATGAATAATATCGATCTATCTAATAAGGCTGTTATAAGGGCTATTCAGATCATGCATATGAAATATTCTGCACAGTTAGCAAAAGTCCTGCTTAAAAATACAGTATTCACTTTTAGCATTGGCTTTTAGAGGTTCCACTACCAAGATTACAGCAAATGAAATTAAGAAAGTTGTACATGCATGATGCAGCTTGGGTGGCCATGATCAGGCTATGGAAATCTCATCACTGGGTGAGCAGTCATTGTAAATTTGATGATCTAAAGACATGTAAATATTTTCTACACTTGCCCTCTGATTAATTTGTTTAGCCTGGTTCTTTTAAAAGGCACCTCTTAAAAAATTGCAAATACGTGATTTTTGCATGATGATGTTTATTAGTAATCTAATAGACAACTTACAAGATACTGGCAGATTTCATCCAAAATTTCTTCATGCTTATGCCAGGTTTTTCCACTAACAATTTGTTTTGGAAGTTTCCATCCCAGGAATCGGAAGGATTTCTCCAAGGCATATTTACAGTTCTGCAAGACATGAGGAGATCTTTTGCACCATTCACCAACAAACATAGGCAGCTGCTGAATAATTTAGAGCCCTTTCCGGGTGCTCTTTCTCCCAGTTCAGAATCAGCTCCAGACTTGTCCGTTCTTACATGATGAGCTGGGTCTGGAAGCTGAGTCGATTTACTGCTGACTCAGCTTTGGTGCATCTGAAATCACAGCACATGCATAATCTACTTTCCTGTAGCTTCAATTCCCTATTCCAGTGTTTCTCAACTGTGGCAACGTTAAGATGAGTGGACTTCAACTCCCAGAATTCTTGCCATGGTTGAGAAACACTGCCCTATTCTGTCGCCCTTATCTTTTCACTTGTGGATGGTCTATTCTCTGATTGGCAGGAACTCTTGCTTCACCCCACACCCAGCTCCTTTTTTCTCCCTGCCATAGATGTTCAGCCACAATACTATTGTTTTCAGGGTTTCAAGGCTAGCAGAAATGGAGATAATCACAGATTGCCTTCACATTGCTTCTGAGGGATTATAAAAAAGGAAAGATGCCTTCAAGGCAAATTCAGCTCCTGAATGTTTGAATGTAGCCTTCTTGGCTATGTTACAAAGGCTATTACTTTCTATGTCTTTTTCAACTTCCCAGTTCTGGAATTCCCAAGTAGTTCCTCATCCAAATACTAACTAGGGCTGACCTTGTTTTACCTTCTGAGATTAGCCAAGGGCGTCTAACTGCCATACTGAGGCTTTGAGAGATTGGGGAGAAGCACCAGTGGTGATACAGAAATACTCCCTAGAAAGAACAGGCTTTGCTTACAGATAGAAAAGATGAGAAAACTCCCTTTCAAGGAAACATGGAAGAGAGCAAATGGGGGTAAGGGGTTGAAAGAAGCTACACTACAGATTCTCTTGGAATTATCTAGTTGTTTTTTTTAAACAAAGTGATCTATGTTGATAGGAACTTGCCTTGGGGACATCAGAGTTTTCTTCCTGAAAATGCAGAAGTAACGGAATGATGTTTTCTAGTATCTGATGTCTTATAAAATGCTTTTTGGTTTTTTGGGCCACTTTCACCATTTTCCCAAAAAGGTATATGGAAGAAGCACGCACACTTTCTCTCTCCTAATCAAAGAAAGGAAATAAATCTTAGTGGAGAGCAGTATGTATACTAAGCCTGATTAAAATACATTGATTAGCTCTGACCCCTTTCGCATAAAACTAGATGATGAGGATGATGTCTTTAACATTTTTCTATCTCAGGTTTCAAGATATATCAAGCCATTTCTATTTTTTCTTACTGAAGCTACGCCAGACAGCATCCAAGTTTCAGGCTGGCAGAACAATAAATTTCCCTCTAGGAACACAAACATGCACTCCTGATCTTAGCAGCTTAAGATTCAAGGACAATTCTCAGATAAGCTGCTTTCATTGCAGATGCAAGAGAAGCTCTTATAATCAGCTACTGCAGAATATAGGGATCTATCCATGTTGACAAGCCAGCTCCAGGGATCAAGCTTTGTTTCTTTTTCCTGCTGATAAGAGACTTTTAGCCACCTCCTTCTCAGATTTGGATGCTCCAGGTACCTACACAATGCTTTGATAATGGTCTTGTCTCATTTCAGACTCTCTACCCCCAGCCTTTCCAGTTTTAGCCCTAAAGGATAATTATTCATTAAATTTCATCCTTTTCCATATAAGAAGGGACACATCTGGTTTTCCCAAGTGTGAGAAAGACACACCGAGAGTCCTAAGGTCACCTAGTGGACTTAATGGTAGAAGGATTCCCAAACAAAGCTTAGTGCATGTTCTTCTTAGTACATTAGCATGCTGTGGTTTGTAAACCAGGATGCATGGCTTAATGTGATGTGTGATTCAACAAACTATAGTTCAATGCTATGCATGAACAAGTCCAATGATAAGACTGTCTCCTGGCTTGTAACAAATGTTGACTTTTGTTCCACTATTTTCTTACATCACTGAAGAACTCCTCAAGGGA